ATGTATGGTGTAACTGGTGTTTGTAAACTGGCGTTATAACCTCATTAAAGTTGAAGTTATATTCATACATAACATCTGTAACAATTATGCCAACAAGCACCCACCCAAAGAACAGCGGCTGCAGGTCGTCTCGGAGACCCGTGCGTCGTGCGTCTCAAACTTCTTCCTCCTTCCTGCTCGTTTTTTCCCCTCTTTTTTAAAAAAAGGAAAAAGGAGGAATTCTTCCCATAGTGGCCAACAACACACCAGGGAAGGGAAGTGCCATGGGGCCGATCAGCGCGGCCCTCTCTATGCTCTGCTGTAACAACGGCCGACGGCGGCGGTGGCCAGCGGAGCCAGCGGACTGCGGAAGCATCGCCTTACCGTTCCTTCCCAGGGAGCCGCGCGGAGCAGCGCCACGTCAGCCGCGGCCCGCGGCCCCCGGCCCGGTGCGCTGGAGTTATTGTTGTTGTTCTATCATCGGCAACGGGGTCGCCTATCACAGTGCAGCGGGCGCGGCGGGCTGCTGGCCGGCAGGGCGCCAGCAGGGCAGCAGGGCGCCAGCAGGGCAGCAGGGCGCCAGCAGGGCAGCAGGGCGCCAGCAGGGCCGCGGCCGGAGGTGGCCGGCAGGGAAAGTCTCATTACCCTGCTGCTATCTGCCAGGCGCCGGCTGGCGGCCAAGTGCAGCAGTCTGGTGCACCCCGCCACCACCCCTGAGGCCCGTCCTGCAGCCGGCGCCTGGCGGAGCGCCAACTGGTCCAGTGGGTCCTAGTGGCGGCTGGCGTCCGCGTTCCCGGGGCGTACTACAGCCCTCAGCCGTCCTCTGTTGTCACACGCAGCCTGCTCGCTCCTCTCCTCTCCAGTTTAGATCATCATCTGAAAGTGCCTCCGACAGTAAACGGGAGCCATGGGGGGCCATGAATGAGCCATGAGCCTCGCGGGCAATCTTTCCTAAAACTGCTGGCTAATTCACACAGTTTTGAGCGAATTAGCAACCGCAAGTCCGAGTGCGTATGACTCTGGGACAAAGCCTTGAATCCCGCGGAGAGCCATGAGCTCTGTGCCAGGGTTACCAGAGATCGACCATCGCATAGAGGCACTCGCATTTGCGATCGGGCAATTTAATATTTAGATTCTTGTTACATAAAAGGACGCTAAAGTTCTAGAAAAAGATGGTCCGAGACTGATTGCTCATGGCGTATGACTCGTTCATTGGGCACCTTAAAATGGGACATCCGTCTTCAAGATTAAAGTCTCCAACTTGAAAAATAATTTGGCATTAGAAGAACCAAAAACTATGTAGATCTGTACCTCACTGTAAAGATTTTAGGGCCTAAAATTTATAACACGTAACCAAGCAGCATTTGGGAATTTACTTTTAACGCCATTTAAAACAACCAGATCTCTTCCGTCCTCTCCTCTCATGTACCGCTACCGCATGCATGCAGATGACTGCCTGACCCCTTCTCGGTTCCCTTCCTTGCGGATGGAGTGAGGCTACAGCGCGGCCGTCCTGGACTTCACGGTCCCTTGGAGCGGCAGCGCGCAGCCATGCTGTTTAGCCGCTGTTAGCCACTGGTCAGCCGCTCTGC